TCTCTCTCTCTCTCTCTCTCTCTCTCTCTCTCTCTCTCTCTCTCTCTCTCTCTTTCTCTCGAAAAACGTTATCCACAATTCAATTACACTTAATATTGTACGTTGGCGGCATGTGAATGACAATAAAAAGCCACCCATCGCTTTTGGATCGCGCTCAACTTGATTACTCAATCATTAATTACATTTGCTGGAGTGACAACAATTTGTACCATCGAATGAATTCATTTGATTACTCATTCAATCGGAATTTTTCTTCCATCAATGTTGACATCTTGATGTGAACTCTCAATGGAAACAAATTGAAAACATGCATTTGAGTCTGTCAGAGAGCCAAACAAATAGTCAAAACAGTTGAAAAAACTTCCGGCCTTTTGTAATCGGTTTCTATTGTTATCATCATGTCATTTTTAAAACCATCGATAGAAAATTATTATGTAAAATTTGCTTCTAAATTGGAATATGTCTTGGACTTTTACCACAATTTTCCACTGAAAAAAATATCTTCACTTGTTGTTTTGACCAAACCACATGTCATACCGCCGCCATTCACAGATTACCATTTCGGATGAACTTTCCAAAAGACTACCGAACACCAGACATGTTTATTGCACATGTTCAACTTGTTTCGAGTCGCCATATTTACTGCACGCGGTTATAAAATTGATTGCTTTTTCAGCGGAATGTCAGGCCGCCACAATTTATGGTATGGTTGCATCTATCCATTTAACCAAAACCAATTTGTTTGGAAAACATTTTATTTGGAAAGTGAAGGAGTTATGCACCTCGTTTCGATTATTATGATGGTTGTGATCGGCAAGTGATAGAAATCGGCCGAGATGGCAATAAGTGGGAACATCTATTACTTGACTTTTCACATTTTTTTTTTGATTGGAGAAAAAATTGACTTTAATCAAAACGAAATTGATTTCATTGTAACGAACTGTAGTTGGAAGAACGCAACTTTTGAACTATGAAGACGTGATCGAACAATACAAAACTAACCACTTGAACGTTTTTTACCTTTTCAGAGATATCGCTCCGAAATGACATCGAACTCGGACAAAAACCGATCACAAAATAATAACGGAAAACAAAAGGATCTTTGGGCTAATCAACAAGTAAGTGGCATATTTCCGTGAAATTTCAATTCATTTTTATGCATTTTATTGCATCTTTTTTATACAATTTCGTAATTTCTTAACTTCCATTTATCTGTTGCACGTTCGAATGTTTTTGTTGTGTATACTTGCGCATTTCTGTTCGGGAAACTTCATAAATTCCGTTTTTTCATCATGAAATAAGAACTTGATGTGTTTTTTTATCGGTTTCAACGGTTTTACGATAGCACAATCTGACGCCTCAGGTCATTGTGATATGCGACTCGGCGACCTTATGCATTGTTTAATTATTGTTGCCGAAATTCAAATGAACTGACGAGAATGATCATTTTCAGCGGGAGCACCATTGAAATTCAGCTAAACTGATTTGCATACAATAATTGCGTGAGAAACTGGCGACTCCGATTCTCGTAAAAATATGAATAAATGCGTCTGAAAAAGCAGTTGCCAAATCATGAAATTTTTTTTAAGAGATATGAGTTTTGTGTAGCAAAGGGGTTTAGAACTATAAAAATTGAAATAATGAGACGTGAGATGTCTTTTGAGCGTTGAGAGAATTAAGCTATAACACAAATGAGACTAGATTATATCTCTTTAAGCGAACTTGATTACCAGATTCTGGCCAAACAATGTTCTCGTAGTGAACTGAAAACAAGAAATGAATTATAATTGTGATAAATTCCGCGGAGATATTTTTTTCAGTTAAGACATTAAAATTATACATTGTAATATCGTTTAAGTGAAATAAGCATAGGGAAGGTGTCTGCGGCATTGAATGTAATACAGTTCTAATGGAGTCGATCATGTTCATTCTTGTATCGGTTTCAATTTATAACGATGATGGAGTTGGCATCATCCTTTGGGGTATAGCGATAAACATGGTCATTTGTGGAAATGAAAACCAGTTAAAGACACCTTTTGAAGTATATAAATTCATTATGGGCTGCGTTTTTAGCGTGTTGGCAAATTACATCAATGGTTGGTTTTTGTTTCAGTTCAACATGGAAATGATCATCCGGAGAAATGGCGAGCAATGAGCCCGTCCAAATAGTAAATAATTATAATTATGGTTTAACCGTCGAGTCGTAAATGAGCAGCTGTAATTGTGCTGATGAACCGTTATGCCAAACATAACAACGCACACACACACACACACACACACACACACACACACACACACACACAC